AGCTGACCCCTGACTTTCATAATCGTGAAAAAAAAAACGAAAGAAAAAAAAAAAAAGGTATGCCGATTATTCTGGTTCGCGTGTTTGAACGAAAACGGAACCTCCTGCGAAAGCGGTGGGGTGAGAAACAACTGCAAACTAAAGAGCGCCATTAGGAAAAGTGGAGCAACATGACCCTCGGACGGTTCGACGGCGGGCGATTAGCCCCTCGCCGTCCACATTCAAAAGCAGCCTTTGTTTTGGAAGTGTCTCCCCCCTGTGAAAGAAATGCGCAGCGGCTGAAAGGGGGAGATGCCTCGGGGGCGTGCATGTGTCCCGGGCTAGATAACCATCTCAGAGGCCGCGAATCAGCCGGCTCAGTCAGACACGGCGGCACGGGAGGAAGCAAGATGGAGGGAGGCGAGAGGAGAGAGGAGCCCAGAGGTGAGAGTGGAGGAGAGGCAGGGCGGGCAGGGTGAGGGGAAAGAAGACCAAAAAAAAGGGGGGGGGGGCAGGGCCCAGGAGTGACGAGGCAAAGGGGACGCAAACTGTTTCCGCGGAAACTTCTCTGAGAGAAGTGGCGAGGACCAGCTGTGAGGCAGGCCCACCGGTTGACAGGCCGGGGACAACAAAGGGAGCCAACGTCCACTCGTAAAACGCTGCTCCTGCTTTGCCTCGCAGGCGGAAAAGAAAAAAACACACACACGGCTGAGGCCGTAAAAAAACTGCTGATATGAAAATGTCATAAGTTGCCCCCCCAACCCAACCCACCCCTCCCTGACAGTATCTCTGCTTTGTTCCGATGAATTTTATTCATTATGAGTGTGCAGGAGCTAAAAATAAAACCCGGAACGTTTGAACTTTTGTGCACAAGCGTGCGTTCGACGTAGACCGATTTCCAATTTTTCCCTTTTTTTTTTTAATTGTATTTACGCGGGGTGGAAACAGATGGGGTGGAGGCTGGGATGGATGAAAAGAAACAGACAAACGAATTCATTTAAAGATGTTTTTTGGCGTCTACAGCAAGCTAACCTCAATCCAGCTCTGTGGGATCTGCATAAATTGAGGGCTTGGGGAGTTATGGCAGTATCCTCGGTATTATGCATATTAGTTTAAGGCTGTCACTGAGAATCAGCAAGGGTGTCCATCCCGCCGCGGCTAGGGGCTGCTAATTATTGGATCAGAGATAAAGTGCTTTTTTAGCACTCCTTTGCTCGCTGCGCCTTGAAAACAGGTCAAAAAAGGGAAAAAAACTAAACGGGGAGGGGAAAGAGAAAAGAAAAGAAGCCCCATTTCAGGTTCAGAGGGAGCCACCGGGTCAAGAATCGATCAAGTGGAAAACCTTTGTCTGGTTGGGGGCAATTTGGACGCGAGACCAGATTTGTCACATCTGCCCAGCTTTTACTGCCGCCAAAAGGGAGCGGAATAACAGGATGCTAACACACTCGCAGGGTGGGAGAGAGCAGGGAGGCAAGAGGAGGCAGCAGAGAGCCTAAGCATGATTGAGAGGGAGAAATAGAGTTGCCTTTAACCACACACACTGGGGATGTTGAAGCTTCTTAAAATTAATCTATATTTTAAAGAAAAAACACACACACACACACAATAGAAAGGGTTTGTAGTCTGATATGAATCAATACTTGTTAAAATTTCTTTCATGTGTCCAGTAGTGCCTTTGTTATGAGAGCTTTATAGACACCCTGAGACCCCAGATAGCGTGAAATCTTATTAAAAAGGTAGAGCATCTCATTAAGTTCCTGCCAAAAAAGCTGCTGGATCCCGCTCTGCTTCACAAAGACGCAGAGGAAGACAACACATGTAGTCCATATGGGCCTGAGCTGACATCCTACCCTCCACGGGCAGCATTTTTTTTACAAAGGAAAAAAAAGAAGTTGTGGGCTGTTTGAAAGTGTTTTCAGATGCATCATTTAGGCCACGTTGAGAAAACAAGGAGTGTGTTATGAAGCCTTTATCTTTAAGTCACACCTCCGATCTGGACACTTTTCTCACATATGCTGGAAGAGAAAGAGGCTGTATATGTCACACGATTTTGGCCCTCTAATCCCAGCGGCTCGCACACAGAAACACTGAACTGACGGGCACCGAAAACACACACATGCAAGATTACACACACACAGACATACAGAAAAACGACACAATCCCTCTTCAGGCCTAAACACTGCCGACACAATGACTATGGAGAGGTTTGGGTGAACCTGTTTAGGATTAGTCTGTTAGCACAAGCTCTCAAGTCGGTCTTTAAAAACAGCAGTTTAAAAACAAACTTGACAGATATTAGAGGAAACCAGACAGGGAGGGCATAGAGGGGTTGTCTTACCATATTCTCAGATGTACGCCGTTTTCATTCTCTGGCCTGTACCTGCAGACAATTGGATCTTTTAAAATAAAAACCTTGAGGTATCTGGATGGCATGGATCCCCACCATCCATTTGGCCTCATACAGTGTACAGACACCCTCCCACCCCCACCGAAAAAAGAATGAAAAAATACTGACATTTGACTTAAGGTGTAATTCTCTGTGGATTCAGCTTAAAAGGAGGCTGAGAAGCGCAGCTAAACAAGGTCAGCAGAAAGACATACTGTGGTGCAGGCAAACAAAAGAGCGTAAACCCCAGGATCTGTAAGTCATCGGAAGAATGGACAGACTAATCCCAAAGTAGGTGTAATGTGTGAAAGCGGGAATGGGAAAACGGGTTGAGGACAAATGGGTGAGGGGATGATCGGGAGTCAGAAATGAGTCGAGTCAGACCAGAAAGCTGATTGTTGGCCCTGGCTGTGGTTAGAGTCTGGGTGTGCTCATTTTTATCTGCGTTTGCCACCCCTTTAGTGGGACAATATGCTCAGTTCACAGCTTTCCTGGACCGGCACTAGTGTTTTTGTGGGGCGTAAACTTGGAATGACATGAACTCTATGGAAAGATGGAAATCCCGACAGACAAAACGGAAGGGGACGAGCTAACGGCGGCTGCTGCTCACCTGTGGCCGATTCCTGCATCTTCTCCCTCTTCCGCTTCTTCTTCTTTCCCTAAAAATAAACAGAGGAACGCATAAAGTGTGGCTCCAGCACTCACGCTCACTAGACCACTCAGATATCCTGCTGCTGACTGCCATGTTCACTCATCCCCTGCTGGGCATCCAACCAGCATCCCCCAGACTCCAGACTCCACTGCAAACTGCGATGCTGAGGGGCCCCCCCACCACCCCCCTTGATGCAAGTTCGCCCCACGTGCTCTGAGCCCTGTGACTCACTAGTTTCTGTCTTTCGGAGGGGCCCCATCCTGAGCTCCTGGGAAATAAAGGTTTTTCACCTGCTGCGTCAGCCGGCAAATGACAAACATTAAGCACCACTAACAAAGGGTCGCTGCGATCGTGGTGGAGCGGCTCGGTGGCTGCGAGTGCCACTCCGTTTCCTGCGAGCTGGTGGGAGCGCGCGAGGATTTATAGCTTATGCAAAATCCCCAGGGGGGAGACTATAGGTATAGATAGCAGCGAAGAGTCGTCCAAGTCAAATATGAGCAGCACTTTGGTTTCCTGCTGCAAAGTCTGCTAATCCACTTATTCATGAGCTAATCTGCCTTCTACTGCTGCGGCAGACGGGGAACAGGAGACACCGAGAGAGCGCGGGTGAGAGAAAGGATGAGAGGGATGAACCTACGAGACGCTCTCTTTGCCAGGGTGTTACCTATGGTGGGCGTTTCCAGGCACGACGCAGGGCCCTGTGTACAGATGATGGTGCATTCGGGGAGGATACGAAAAGACCCGATTGTTGGCGTTTCATAAGAGTCGCGTCTTTATCTCTCTGGCTGGTAAAAAAAGCGGGAGGCAAGTGCTGCTCCGTTTTCCCCTCACGAGCCATCAGATGAGCTTGTAATTGGAAAAGCGAGTTACGTTAGGGGCTGACTGTCACCGACTGAAGCCTGCAAGCGCGCTGTTGCTTCAGTGTGTCCCCGTCCCTCCTCAGCAAGGCATTTTGGCAGCGGAGGAGCGGAGGCAGAAGGAGGGGGGATGCTGTCAGTGTCCGAGGGGAGGCAGATAAACACCACAAAGCACTTTGGTGGTGGAGTGAATGTGAGTGCCGGAGCCACACTTTTAATAAAAGCTGGTGCTCTCTCTCTCTCAGAAAGTCACACACATCACATGCTCAAGGACAGATTGTGACCACCTCCAATCGCTCACACACATACACACACACACTTATACACAAGATGCATCTTCACAGGATGGTACATGCTGCATCCTAAACCTAGCACGTTCACAGGCAGGCTGTGCAGCTGGGGGAGCAAAGGTTGCTGCCGCTGAATGCTGCGCGAACAATCAGCCTCCTCAGCTCCGTCTAACAGCTGCTTTTACATCTCCAGCTCCACGCCGATATGGAACATCAAAGACTGGCATAACCATTACCAGGCAATTTTCACTGGCAGCGGCAATAATAGCGTCCGTGGTACTACAATCCATTTTAGGGCGGATGGTGCTAAAACAATGTTATGAATTACACATTAGGCTGAAACAAAGGGCCTGCAAATGGATCCACATTAGCATGGAGAAGGCTAGTGTGAATTAGTGCGTGTGCAGCTTCTTCTTTTTTTTTCCTTGTTCTCCATCATGTCAATAGTAAGACGTGCACCACAGACATTAACGGCACAATTGCACACACACACACACACACGCGCACCTTGCCAATCTGTTCTGTTGATACTTACATAATTGTCTCGAGCAGACCAGCCGGGGTAGAGCTGCATGTGGAGCTGCCGTTCCTTGCGGGCTAACTCATAATACTTAGCTTGCTCTTCCCGAGATAAAGCATGCCACTGTTTCAGTACAAAGGAGATTGAGAGGGGGGGGTGGTTAGAACACAGTCAATTACTGGCATGCACTTGCATGTTCCCTGCATAGAGCTGTGTGCTGGTGTTTTGGTGATGTGGGGGGGGTCTTTTCAACTTCTTCATGTTTGGTGTGGAACAGAAATGGGGTTAAAAGAGAAGAAGAAGAGGGAAACATGATGAAGAGATTAACATGCACAAGAGTAAAAGAGGGAAAGGGGGGGGGGGAGTGGGGGCTTTGATTTCATATCAAAACACTGCTTCCAATTTAGCAGCGCTTTTTATTCAAACTGTGTCAGCAAGCAATTACTTTCTGCAGGCCACAAACTCGGCTTTGCTGTGGCTGGCTGCCTAGGCCTGTTCGTTAAGGCTTTTTAACATGGCTCTGTGGTTCCACGCGCTTCCAAATCCTCAAAAGGGACAAATTTTGTCATTTCCAACTGTGCCATTATCCAGGCATATTTTATTGGAGCCAATTTGATTAAATGTCACTTAGATAGGCAGCCTGTATCTGTGCTGCTGAGAGGGAAGTAATTGGCTGGGGCAATCATTATGACAATCATCACTACTGCTCCATAAAGGACTGTGTTAATAGAGAGGGGTCTCTTTGTACTTTTTTGACAACTAATTGGGCCCTGGTCGGGGCGAGGTCCTGAACTGTGATATCCTGGACGATTTAAGTTCATTTGTGAAGATAAACTGTCGCGCCACGGCAAACGAGAGCGCTCTACCAGCCCGCACCAACGGTGTGACCCTACCCTTCGTCCCAGGATCTGATTGATGGCGGCGCTCTCCTTCAGCGTGCACTCAGCGACCACGTTCGCACGCATCTCTTTCATGTAGAGCATGAAGGCGTTTAGCGGCTTCTTGATGTGCGGCTTTTTGGGCTCGTGCTCCTTTCTCTGTTCGTGCTGGGGTTTCCTGTTGGGGGGGGAAAGAAAATGAATAAACGGGGCGGAAGAAAAGAGAGAAAACGGTTTCGGAAATCAGAGAACAAAACACGAGAGGAGGAAATTGCGGCTCCGCGATGGCGACAAAAGCGGCGAGGGTCTGGCTGCTCCCAGCCAATGGTGAGGAGCTGCCACGCTATGGGCCCCCTGCCTCTTTAATCATGTGCAGTTGTACAGTCGCGGTCCTTCATGCGAAGAGATTACTTCACCAGTAATGGCAACCAAACCTTGTGAGGAATACTGGCAACGGCTTAAAACTGAATGTGGAAAAAAGCAGCTGAAGGGTGGGGGGGGGGAGAAAAAAAAAACCTCCTGGTATACTTTTTTGACAACCTTTCTGTGCAGTTTTGCTGTGAGAACGGCAATTAGGGACAAGAAAATCAGCCGTGACCACTTCAGGGCCCCCGCTGTAAACTCGGCTCGTCGGAGTGCTATCTGCGACCTGTATCTGTTGTCGGCTCTGCGCTTTGTGATCCCCCAGGCTGAATGATGCGCAGGCCTGTTATCAGTGGAGCACGGGCCCTCGCTGCTTATCTCCCCCCACCCCCCCCGATCTGCAGAGCAAGGCTCTGACGGTGGGTTTTGTTCAGCCCCGGCCCACTGCAGTGGTAGAGTGCGCAAATACCTGGAAGTGTGCCGTGGTCTCAGAAAACTGCTGATACAGCGGCGACGGCAAAAGTTTGATGAAGTGCGTGGTGTGAATGAGCTCGTTTGTGCCCGGAGGACTCACATGTGCATGATGTCAGTTTCATGTTGGGGCTCGTGTTTGATCTGTGGGTTGACGATCGCTGGGTGGGGGATCCCTGTGGCGTGGGGACCAGGGGGGCCGGGCACCATGTGGTGGGAGAACCTGCAAGTGCAATCGCAATGAATCAGGCACACTTTCACTTTTTCACCTCGAAGACTTTTCAGAAACTTTGGAAGGTAATTCGGGACACAGTTCCGCGGAGGCCGAGGAATCGTGTCATCTTATAAAATGTCACCTTATAAAACACACCTAAAGAAGAAGCTGCATCGGGCAATAACGAACTAAATGCTGAGGTGGTCTATAGTAGTCTTTAAAACACAGTTTGGATGTGCTTGGGTTTTCTTTAGACATTTTTCATATATCCACATTATCTAGACATGAGACAATCTGAGGACATGCTTTTCATCCCTTGTCACATCTTAAATTCTCTTAGATTCCTTCTCAGCCATAATAAATAGTGGAGTCTGTGTCTTGCCATCAGATCAGAGAGGTTTGATACGTATCCCTCTGAATTTTCCATTTTGCCATTTGTTTCAACACTCACATCATCAAGCTGGGGTTGTTTCAGTCATCTGGAAACAGTTTATTTATGTTTATCCGAAAAAAGAAAAGGACTGAAAGCATGACATTAACTGAACATGACTTTTCACTACTAAAACTTGGTCCTGTGGATTGAAACCTGCGACCGGGATGAAGGGGGGGAAAAAAGCTCATTGCACTGAAAACACGAGTCGTTGCTGAGAAAGTTAAGTTCAGAGAAGTTGGATGAAATAGAAAAATAAACGCGAATGTACTGCAAATATTCAAATTTGAGTGGGTTTGGGGAGTAGGGGGATCAAGAGAAAGAGGAGACTTGACTTTACAACTACTGCCTGACGGTGCATCTTACATCTGGCTTCAGTCAGCGAACGCCTCCGACAATCACACTGACACAGAACGGAATAATATGGAAGAAGGGAAAGACATGAAAATACGAACAAGAAAAGAGAGTGGCGAGGAGGCAATAAAAAAAAAAAAAGAATGAGAAACGGATAAGAGATACGAAAAGAAAAAGGACCGATAAAGTCTGGGACGGAGGGGTGCCTCCGGAGAGCTTTGATGAGGGCTAAGCAGCCATATGGCCATGCAGGGGCACGTATGTGCTGACGGGTTTGACATGTGCTGGGCACACAGAGGAGCAGTGTGGTCACAGCCGCAGCAGAAAACAGCCAGAGGCAGACCTCCCTGCTGGGGCTGCTGCTGGCCCAACATTTCCCCGCTCTGCGCACGAAGCCGGGGACGGACGGCGCGAAGACGGTCGGGGACGCTCGTCCAGTGAAGGCGCTTTGGCCGCCGCAGCCTGAACTCACCATCCCAGCGGCGGTGTGATCTGCCCCACTCCGCCCGGGGACAGGGAGTAGAAGTTGGGCATGTCTGGTCCTGGATGATGCCTGGGCATTCCTACACAAGCCAAAAACATACACAAATATTACAGGTGCCCGGTGACTGCAGACATATGTTAACACGCCGAGTGTGGTGAAAAGTGTGGAGCCATAGGCATGGATAGAAAAAGAGAGCTTCAGGGTCGGGTTTGCCGCACATTTTCAGATCCCTTTTCTAACTTTTGATTCCATTTGCAATTTCTTCTGTCCAGATACTTATTTTGGACGAGGCAGTGTTTGGAACGTGTTAGGGATAATAAGGAGAGGCACTGGCATCTGAGACGCTCGGCTGTGACTAGCGCCGCAACCGGCGTCCGCTTACCAGCTTTTTAAATAGCTTAAATCCAAGACAACTGAGTCAACTTTGGAAGAGTGAGGGCTGTGGTTTAAAACATCTGAAAAATCTCCCGAGTTGACCTTCCTTTTGGTGCCCAAACCCACCTTCACCACCCTGCTTTACCACACGTCAAGGGCAGCCCACACGCCGGCTCCTGATCTCACATTATTAACCGATAGAAAAGGATCCGATTCTTTCTGCTTAGCCTGATTCCTTCCAGTGTGTTTTAGCATCTTTAAGCTGGATAATTGAGGCTTCTTCCTTCTGTGCAAGGGCTGAAGCTCTCCCCATGGACACAGGATTGAGTGTGACTAAGCTCCTCCATCTCCATCTCCTGCTGGGTGTCAAGGTCAAGAGGCCGATTTTTCCAGACAGAACTCAGTGATAACAAACAAACATCTACCTTACATCCAAACTAGTTTTTCATTAATGGGCTGGGCAAGCAGGTCTGAGGGAATGCTGCCACATGCGTGTTAAAAACCAACACAAAAAAAAAAATACGAAGAAGTGCAAATGCCTCCAGATTAGCACCATCTTCTAATCCCTGCAGGAGTCCGTGGTTTCTGCCAGATTCTACCTCTTCTCCTCCTCGTCCTCTCTCCAGGCCGCGGTCTGACGGGGTGCCCTCCGAGAGGCTGGCCTAGCGGGAGGCTTATATCTGCCAACGCCCGCGCCGCGATGCAGGATTCGTAGCGGGGATGGCACGGCTCCCGTGCTCACTAATCCACCACCTAACGCTCCTTTAGGGCCCTCCTCAGGACGGGAGGGAAGGAAGTGTGGGGTGAAGCGGCAAGGGAGGAAGCGAGAGGCCCGGCGTGTTAACCTTGTCACTCACACCTCTATGGGGCCTAATTACTCGCTCCCTCCGTTTCACACATGTCCGCTGACTTCCAGCAGGGTTTTGCAGGGGCACAGCCCAGACTACGGCCCGTGTTTTCCCTTTTTTTTCTTCTTTTCTTTTCAAAATACTACTCAATTTATGGGTTTCTACACGAAATGTGCACAGCTTCACCACCACCCCCTCCCTCCTCTCGACCTTCCATCCCACGTAGCGGCCCTGCGCATATTAGAGCTCATAATGAGAAAATCCATGATTGTTTTTCATAATTAACGAGCAGATCAAAGTCTGAGCCCACTAAGGGGAGCTGAGCAGCAATTGGTCGATATGAGAGGCAGAGAAAGAGCAAGAGGGACAGAGGGGGGGGGGGGGGGGAATAGAGAGATTTCATTTTAAGCATCTTTGGCTTAGCTGGACTGATGCACGCACATAAATATGCCCGGGGAAATCATTTGAAGCTAATTCTGCAACTGGATTGCTCGGACATGGATTTCTGATGCGCTGTGAGCACTGAGATCAAATAGTGAGGGAAAAAAGGCCCCGAGGTGGATCTCACTGCTCTGCATTGTCAGAAACCAACAGTCGAGAGACGAGCGCGCTCTCGTGACAACAACAGATTTCTGAAATTCAGAGAGCGTGCCCATCGCTCAGCTACCTATTTGTTCTTTCATGTTTCCGTCTGAGGAAAGTCTCCCACACCACACGTGTCAGACGCATGACATATGTGGAGCGCCGTTTTCTTTGCATGTCCCGCTCCCTTCATCTCACGGCTCGGCTCCACGCCGTTATTTATAGCCGGGCCCTCAGCGCCTCGTCTGATCAGCCTTTTTTCTTCTTAACCGCCATCCAGAAGGCGGCGCGGAGCGGGAAGGTGCGGGACAAAACTATGTTTGGCCAACGTCTTTCTCCAGCATCAGTGAGGCGCTGCCAAGGTTTCCCGCTGCGCGGGGGCTGAGGCGCTCATCCTGACAGCAGAGGAGCTCTTCAGCAGCTGTCAGAGCAGCAGTTTGATGTTATTCCTGAGGGGCGCAGGGAGCGGAGGGAGAGGGCAGCACGCCGCGCCGCGTCGCCGCGCAGGCTGCTTCAAATGAGTTCAGGCTCAGAGATGATGGAAGGATGACTCCGCTTTGACTATTTTTTTTTGTTTTTCTCTACCGATTTCTGACAGCGATGACAGAAATGGAGAAGAAAAAAAAAAGACAAAGCACTTATCGGCTCAGTTTAATGCGGAATGAGCATGGCAGCAACGCTTTGGTTAAAAAGTCGACTCGACAACAAGCCTCACCAGCTTAGAGGGAGGAGCGGGGGGGTAAAAGTTCAGCTCCCTTTGAATGATTGATCAAACCGGAAAATCTGAAATCGACGCAGACTCCGATCCACAAAGCTCCCTTACCCTGTTTGTTGCTGACATCCTGGGGGTGATGGCCGGAATGAGAACCTGGTGCGAAGTGCTCGTCGCTGTATGTGATCAGTGGGGTGAGTGGGTGGACTGCATGGGACGGCTGCACCACGGGGACTTTGTTGGACTGTGGGGACAAATACAATAGAATTTAAAACAATGCTTAACAATGACGGGGTCCACACAGCCTCCCCCCCCCCCCCATTTCCCTGCTACATAATGCAGGACCCTGCAGGTGCCTGTTCCTGAATCCTTTCATTGATGTCAGCAAAGTCGAACAGTTTGGTCAAGAAGCCAGCAGCTAAAAACTTTGTTTAGCCTAGGTCAGCGGGACTGAAAGCCCTGCTCCCTGCAGGAAAACGGGAAAAACAAGTCAAAGAGGCGCACGATCGTACTTGAGAGAGAAACAGAGAGATGCAGACTGAAGAGGAGCAAATGGAAGGGAGCGAAGAGAGGGGAGAGAAACGAGAGACTTTGCAAGGTAGAGTTAGAGCAGAGGTCTAAGGCGGGAGATCAAAGGCAGTCATTAGCTGGTGAATAAGGGGGGTTCATTACAGAGCAAGAGCCAGGGGAAGGAGAGATGGGGGGGGTGGGGTGAGTTGGAGGAGATGGAGGGGGGAATAGGGGGGGTTTGGGGGCTGTTTGACTATGAAGAGAAAAGCGTGAGTGAGACAGATGTCTGCAGAGGTCCTTAATGCGGGGGTAATCACGTCAACAGAGGCCGGGCCGCAGACCCCCTCACCCCCCAGCTGACTCGGAGACCTTACAGTACCCCCTGACAATCAAAACGGGCCAAACCAGCTCCTGACCCGGGAAAAAAAAAAAGAAAAAAGATCAAGCCAAGGGAGCTTACATGCTTCAGCTGCACTAAACACATGGGAACGCTTAACCATACTAAATCTACTATTCACAATCCGAGCCGAGAGCGGAGCTGGAGTCAAAATATCATCTCCACAGGATATATGGCTAATCGGAGAGACGTCAGTTCACGGTTGGATGAGACACGTCTTGCACCGCACAGCTCCAGTTTCATCCATCTTCTAATCATTCTCATACACAGAAACAGACACCTGACTCACGCCGTTAAAGATATCCATCTAAATTTAGATGAGACGCAAACCACAGAGAGAGGCAACTGTTTACTAGTTCCCACCTTTTTAATTGGTCTGATTATGTGTGCCCGATGACATTCCAGTGGCGACTGGTGTCCCTTCTCACCTACTATCACCACGCACGCATGTGTGAACACGCACACAAAGCCTCTGCGACACGGGGGAGGCTGGAATGTCGGAGTTTCCGTGAACCGCTCGCAGACTGGCACCAAATTCTACTTAACTCCCCCCCAACCCTACCTTTTCCCATCTTTTAGGAATGTCCAGAAAGAAAAAAAAAGGGCTAAATGCGGTGTGTGTATGTGTGGGGGAGTGTGTGTCTGTCACAACAGGTTCCTAATCAGGCTCACAGTCTCATCTCTTACACCAATTTGGTGACCTTTTTCTAGTTTCGACATGAGCTTAGTACCGCACCACCACACACAGTACACACGTGGCCAGTTTGCCATCTGCATCTTTTTGGGTTTTTTTTTTTTTGGGTGGGGGACTTCTTGGAAAAAATAATAAAGCCAGGCTTCAGAGATTTTTCACACAAGTCCAGGTGAAATGAGTTCCCTGACCTCAGTTGCCAAGAGTCAAAGGTGATGGGATAATCCGTGACCGAGGGAGAGCCCTACCTCATCTTACAGAGGGGAGGGCTCCTTAATCAGGCTGCTAAACCTTAAAAAGGGGACTAACCAGGGCTGGAGTGACTGGGACATGCCTACACCAGAGGCTAAATAATAGCATTCTCGCCCATATTACTTTACGCCTCTCCACTCCCATTTGTTATCCTGTGGGAATGAGATAAGAACCTGGGAGATTATCATTACCGCTCAGAGCGCTCTCTCCAACTTGTGGCAGAGAAGGAGAGAAAAGAGGCAGATAGTGGAAACCAGCTTTTTTTTTTTCTCGCCCTTGTTTTTGCACCACAAACAGCGAATGGCAGTCGACTCCACAGCGCCTAATCAGGCCAAGATGGATCTATCAAAGACGAGAAGCCCTCTCCTTTGCCTCTGTCAGTGTTCCAGCTGTCAAATCTCCCCCCCCCCCCGCCCCCACTCCTCAATAAACGGTTCTGTTGAGGGGAATCCACCGTAGAAAAACCTGCTGGCCTCTGTGACCAATCTGTGGCTCTTTTGGTGCCCAATTACACCAACTGCAGACTTCTTATGACCATGCAACTAGAAACTAATTACCAAATACAGACAAATGGTTTTACATTGAATATATAATATGGTGATGAAAAGATACTAAACAAAAAAACAAAAAAATGGAGAGGAAACAGTGAATGTGTGGTTTTATCACCAGGTGGAAACTTGTTGGCTCCACCAATTTCTAGCTCTTGGAAAAGTCCACAAAATCGCATTGCTCTTTTCCCAATTTCCTGGACAAAATAGTTGGAGACACTCAGCAGAGCGCAACCATGGAGGTCACGCCAAGTTGCGGCAATCTGATCCCCTCTCATCCCCTCTCTGACTCTGAGCGCCCTCCGTAGCTCTGCTGAAATGGAGGGCGGCCATATTGGAGGTCCCTTTTATTGTACAGGAGAAATAATAGGCTTAGGATCTTTCTATTCATATTTTTCAGGCAGAGCAAAAGAGGAGAGGCGGCGAGGCTTGAAAAGAAAATGTTCCATTTAAATTTCATATCCAGGCCTGGCCGGGCCTTTTAAAGAACCCTTCAGATGTGGTTTTAAGCGAGATTCATTGTGCGGAACAGGAGCTGGCAGAAAGCCCCTCCATGGACGACAGACACCAGTGTGTTTCAGAGCTGCTGACTTTGTGTGCCGTTTGGGGGTGGGGAAGCCAAATGTGACGTTTCAATTCTGCTCTCTCTTTTATTTTTTTCTCCTTGTTGTTGTAACTGTTTAACGTGTCAAGTTTGCTGGGATTCCACCAGCGTCCTGTCACAGTTGCCAAGCATGAATGCATGTGTTTATCTGGGTATCCTTGTCATACATGAAGTCACTACCACTGCAACGCAGCCTGTTTAGCATCCCTCCCCTTCTCGTCCCTAACAGCGCAGCTTTTGTGCTCCACTCGATTATAGCACTTCTGCAGAGTGGAAAAAGGGAAAGCAGGAATCTTATAATAATCACTTCCCACTTCTGTAATTTATATGCAATGAGGACTCTTCGTGCCTGCAGCTACAATCAAGTGCGTAGAAACCATGTGAGGTGCTTCGCAAACAGCTGGGGAGATAGCAGCCCGAGTGGCGGCTGTGGATTCCCATGCTGCTTATTCTATTCAGCGAGGAGCTCCTCTCACGCCAAAACCTAACCTCACCCACTCATAGGATTTTCCTCACTCTGGAGGGGGCATAGGATATTAACAAGTGTAGACAAAAAGATGAGGCAAGAAACTGAAATAGCATCAACAAAAGTTTGCTGTCGACTTTGCCCAATAAAATGCCGTGATTACCACTTTGGGAAATCTTTTGAAATTACATCAGATCCCTACCAGAGAGCACACACCCATAAATGTTTGAAGGCAATTTTTTGGCTACTGTTTCCACTGATGGTACACTTATAAAAAAGACAAGATTACAGAGACAAAGGCTCTGTAAATGCCAAAAAAAGGCCTGAGCATGGACCAAGGGTGTGCCCAGAACTGAATTCCTATGTACAGTCAGCTCCAGACCAGGTGTTCACTCTCAGGCGTGTTTGCCTGCTGGTTGTCCAACCTTTTTCCAACAAAAGAGAGCAAACAGAAGCTTTATAGCGAGGAAAAGAAAAGGCCCCTGTGTTCCATGCCCCCCCCCCCAAACCAAAAACAGCGCAAACCAACCTGCGGAAGCTTAAATAAATAACCAATTACCGTTCACAGAGCCGGCTGCACCCCACCAGCTCCGAGTGAGGTGCTAAAAATGGACCGTTTCACTGGCAAGATTGCCCCTTGGCCAGAGGGGCTTAATGTAACGAAACCCAATTAATGCAGAAGAAAGCGGGGCTGCCAGCATGGGAAGGAGCACCACGCGCTCAGAGTAATGAGACGAACAGGCGAAAGCAACCACGGGGACAGCGACAGGGGAGGCTGCGAATGGCAAGAAAAGCTTGCCCCGGAGAGGGGCATGCTTCTGTGAGCCTCCAATATCACTGTCCCTCTTTTCCTCCCCTATCCCAATCAAAACACCCTTCATGCTCATAAAGAGCCCAATAGCAGGCAGCAATTGGTGAAGGCGGCTGGTGGAAATGACCACAGACTTTTTGCTGAGTGGAGTTAGGCTGCAGATAAAATAAGCCCGCATTATACATTCAATTTAAAGGGTTTACAGGTTGCAGGAAAAATTAATTATGCAAGGAAAGTGTCACGCCGTCTTCCAAATACTAATGCCGAACACTCGCGGACACACAGTGACTGACACGACTCATACACACAGCAGCATCCGAAACTAACTTACACACACACACACACACAAACACACGCTTGTGCATCAAAATGCGCTCATGATGCAGAGATCAAAGACCGTGGCGTTAATGAATTTAACACATAGGTTCTGCATGCGAACACAAACGTGCTATTGACAGCCAAACACCTTCTTTCCCCAACACAACGTGAATAGGGCGAGCCGGATTACCCATCATCCCTCAGCTGGCATGAAGAACGTGTGCTCCGAGCATCCCATCACGTTGGCTCTGGTGCCGACATTGTGAACGCACAAGGAGGATAATTTGTGTGAAATGTGCCTGCCCCAGATGAAAAGACTTGATCCGCTTCTTTTATATATATTTTTTAAAGAGTTCAACTCTTAATTTCTACGTGGTAACAAACTGAGGGAGAGGGAACGGCACGTGGGAAATAATCCTGTTGGTACTTCCTTACAATTGTTAAGGCAGAGAAAAGTAGAAAAAATATAGATCAAACAGGACTGTTATGGAGGAGCCCAGATTATGGAAAAATAAAAAAATACAAAGGTGCAAGAGGTAAAGAGGATCTGAGGGCAATAAAAACTATCTTCAAATTATGTAAAATGTTCCTTATGTAACAACATATCAATGATTTGCTTTAGAAAAAAGCAGCAGGTAACCAGATCACCTCTCAACCAGTCCATCAGCAGATCAAAATGGCTGTTTTTTTCCTCGAAGAGACATTTAGCGTCACAAATTACCTTTTCAAATCTCCTAGAGGAGCCTTTGTGGCTGGGGGTGTTAACCTAGCATTACCGATTCCGAAGTTGGAAGTGCATCTTCTAAGTGATGCCACCAGCATTTAAAAAAAATAATTTCTCTGTGGAACTGTGCATGTTGGCAACAGTGCTGTAACATCCCAACCTCAAGCAAGTTTAAACTGATCTGCATACCCTGCCAGATGGTATGTATTGGAAGCAGGAGCACCGGTGGAGATTTGGGGCTTGAAATGTCTGTTTGACACCTTATGGATCACCATTGTGTTCTCCAAAATCTGCGCACTGGGTGAAAGTGGATCAGCCCGGGATGGAGGTGGGTGAGTGTGTGAGTGTGTGTGTGTGTGTGTGTGGGTTTGGTGGGGGTTGGGCCGCTGCTCTGGCAGGGCCCCGGGCGAACTGCAGGATGTTCACCTTGCGGCGGGGCACAGGGCTCATTATCACAGCAGGACCCGGTCACATCAAAGGACCACGGAAAGGGCAAACATTCTGCTGAAGTGCCACTGTCAGCAGGCCTGCACACACCAACACACACACACGGGAGGGGGAAGAAAAAAAAAAACAGGCCGCACACACTTGAGCACCCACTCAGCATCTTCATCTCCATAAAGAACATGGCTGATCTCCTTAACCTGTGTTCGGATCTACTGAGACACACCGACAGGAAATCTGAGCGTGTTCATAGACTTGATAAAAACCCGATCAAAAACAATACCTTTTTGGTTGAAACCGAAACTTGAGGCTCTAACACGTTTAAATTATGCAACATAGAGTCAAATTGGACCTAAACTGTCTGCATGTGCGCTACAGTTCCACCTTTTGTATTGATCAGTGAAATACCCCAAGAAATCTGCTCCCTTATTTCTCTGTTGGGCGAATGCAACAGAAAGTGTGACTGAACAATCAGCTCAATGTGCCAGCTTAACGGGGTGGCCGGATGTCTTGATGCTCCAAGTTGAGCCGTAAGAGCTTCAGAACAACTTTGACTGAGATTTAACACAGGAGTAAAAACACGGGACTCGACCTTCCATTCGGCCCGTCCCACTGCAGACCCGGCAAAGAAAGCAGGCATCACGCACCTACCCAAGAAAGATTTAGACAAGAGTGGGTCTGCATTATTTATACGGCGATGAGTGAGCTGGGTCAGCACGTCCATTCAAACAGGGAACCGGTCAACTGACCCGCTGCTCAGATCTAGCAACGAAAATAGCGCACACAAAAAGTAAACGCTTTGCAGCATGTTCGATGCCGACAGGTTATCACCGTACCTTCAGATCATAAGTCTGCTAATGGTTTGAAAGCCAAAATTAGTGGAGTTGAAGGTAATCCCAGCACCTGTTATTCTATTGTGGTTTAGATCTACGGTGTGGACATCGTGCTTGTTCGTCCCCTGTTCTTTCGTTAAATACGTCTACTTAAAGTCGGCTATGTTATCCCAAAATTGGTGGAAAGTTTCAAAGAACCATGACTCTTTTCACCTCGTAACAGACGTTGCCTCGACGACCTGATCCGCCATGTGCTTGAAACTATGGGGAAATGTCAACTCTTAGAGACTTCTGTTTGAACCTTGTCCTTTAAAACTGACCAAAAGTGGAAAATGTTTGGAACACCCCCCCCCCACCTTCTGAATCAATCGACATCCCTCTCAACCAACTATTTAT